AGCTTATTGAGGGAATGACTCTGTGTTTTCTAGGAAGAAACACTGACGTACTTCCAGCCCTGATGTTCGGTTTGCATTTTGTAAATCATCCGCACAGGGCAAGAGGGGCAATTCCTCAACCTGGGTATGACATGATTTTTTTGAGGCAATGTTGGTGATGCTGCTTGAGGAACATTTTCAAGGCAGAGCTAAGTTAGCCCTGCCACGGCGAGCGTTCCCATGCCTGGCTCAGTCCCAAGAGACTGTCAACGTTTCTAGTTGTCATGGGGTTGTTAACTCACTTTTCTGTGTCTGCTTTTCTATCTACCACCACGGCCCACACTTGCTGTGTTCTGCCTTCACACCTCATCTCGTCCTGCATCTCATGCTGCAGTCCTTTATCCCGGCAGCCCAGAAGTTTGTCTCACCACTCATTTCCATACTTTGCTCTGCTGCCACTTTGCCAAAGCTGTTCCTGGATAGGTGATATAATCGTCCTCGTCCTTTTAAAATGAATTTGGAGCTTGGATAGAAACCTCCATTACAGTTCTGTAGTTGGCTTTTCTACCTTAGCTAAAATTGGTCTAACACTTGAGCAGTTGGTGTCGGCTTCTTAGGTGAGCATCTTCACGCACCAGAGCTTTGAACTGAAAGTCATTCTCCAATGAGTTTCCAGCTCTTACTTACATTCTGGTCCAAAATGCCCTAATTTTACAAGGTAGTTTAGTAACCAGCAGTGCTTTTGGCACACTGTGTCAGAGACTAACTTGTTATTCACAACTGTAACTACCCAGTGGCCATCATCGCTCCAACATCTCAGAGGGCAGTGGGAAGTAACCTGTGGTGGCCGGTATGCTAGCCAGGATTCTGGTATATCTTGATTTGGACCAAAATCCACTTTTTCATCCCCAATATTCTTGACCCTGACATACATTCACCGGTACAAAGGCTGCTCATTCAGGCAGATTGCTGCCAGTCCATCAATCATTATGAGAGGGCTGAAATGCCAAATTTTACCGGATGCAATTCTGAGAACAGAGAGTCATTTTGTCTGATGAAGCGTTCATATGCTGCAAAATGACAAATCGTGTTTATTTTCACATTGTCAAACTGTGCTTTTTTCCTTTGTTGGCACAATTGGAATCAAGTTTCCCTTAAGGGATAGTTTGGTTTTTATCCATCTGGTTTCTCTTACTTCAGTAAGTCATCAGTTCTCCCTCATTAACATGGTGATCAACCAGGGCTTGATGGTTTCACCTCTTACGATCACAGCATGTCTATAAAGCCTGTATGATGGCTCGTCACTACCTGGGGGAGGAAATTTAAGGAAATGGACATTCACATCTCTTCAAAGTCCCTACTGAGTTTATAATTTGAGACGTAGTCATGGTCACGTCTGGGGAACAAATACTGTTCTTGAACTAGATGAAACATACCCAGTACAATGTGTGATGCTTTGCCCCTTGTATCTTCTGCCATTTCAACTTTCACACGTGCAGATTGAGCTATTGCCTTCTCATTCTTAGTTTCTACTTTTAGACCCTTTTAAACTGCCATTTTTTCAGGTTCCCGAAACATCCTCATGTCACAACAGGCAAGGTTTGCAGTTGTCATACAGCAGTCTAAAATTTAAGAAACAACTCTCCAAAATGAGGACCCAGGTGATCCTTGGGGATGATTGGGGTAACATGCACAGGATGCACCCAGTGTCGTCTTCTGTAACGGAAAAACCCTCCAGACCTAGTCAGTAGAAAAATGGTTCATATTATTGATACTCCTTGTGAGATCTCTTCGTGTAGCAGAAGCTTACAAGGCATCATGTAATTACCTCTCCGCATAAAATGAATTATTGTCTGCTCTAATAGCAGGGAACGTCTCTAACCTGACATCTAGAACTGAACTCTTGCTTTACAAACCTTCTTTTGGCTCATTCATGCACCACAAAGTTTTTTTTTATGAAAAAAAAGCTGGAAAGTAGTGATATAGGAGCTCACTAGTTAACCGATTAGGAACATGCAGGATATTTGGACACTCCTGGAATCTTGTAATGATTCCATGTCTCCTCAATCCATGGTGATTCATCATAAGATGATGGCATTTAGAAAAATAGTTGGATATTGAAGAAGCAATAGGGGAATTTCACTCCATAAATCATCTTAATCGAAGGGAATGCTTGCAGTATGACTGTCTTCATAATGCAGTGACCTTCAGTTGGATCTGCATTCATTTTGGAGCATGTCTTCCTCATTTCTATGCCAGCTTGTTGAGTTATACATAGAAGCTAAACCTCTAGAGATTGATCATACACAATCAGTGATGCGGGACTGAAACAAGGCAGATGACAACGGGGAATCTAAAGGTTAAGAGAAAGGGGTGTAACTGCCAAACCCCACCAATGGCTGGATTTGGGAAATGCAAGTTTCAAAAATCTTCTGCATGATGTATTAGTGGAAAAGACACTCCACTAGGAGAGATCAGTGCGGTGCATCCAAGGGACAGTGTTGTCCAGTTGAATACTCAGGGCTAACGTCTAACCTTGGGAACAAATAACAGAGCTGCTGGTTAGAAAGAATAGGTTCCAGTGTGAAAAAATGAAAGGAACAAAAATATTTTGCTACTGAAGAAAATATAAAGGAAACATGAAGGACTTCAGCTTGAATTAGAGTTATTACTGATGTCGTTATTCCTGATTCCCAGTAGTAAGGGCAACCCGTAAGGTGCCGTACCCCCACGGAGGGTGGGTGCTGGCAGGCTCGGGTGTCTCGGGCATTTGGTGGTAGAGGGTGCCTGGGCAGCCAGGACGGTGTGTCCCTGCATGGCCAGTCTCCTGGAGGAGATGGGACAGCCTGGTCTCACTGGGGCACGCTGAGAGGGGGAGGAAGCAGAGAGCAACGTAAAAAAGGAGGAGGAAAAGGAGCGCTTCGGGGCAGAGCGGGGAGGAACGGGAGGTTCGCAGGGGAGGAGGAAAGGAAGCTTGGAAGAAAGTGGGAGGGAGAGAGAGCTGAGGAGGAAGAGGAGGAGACGGGAAGGGTGGGCGGTGGGTGGCCGGAGGCGAGGAGACGGCCTAGGAGGAGAGCAGGAGCTTGGCAGATTGGTGGTGCCTGCGGAGACGGGGACCAGATGGCGACCTGGGTCCTCCCTGAGCGGCTCTGCCTGCATCCACAGCCCTGCCCGGCCAAACGTCGGTGCTCGTCCTGCTGGCAGAAGGCGAGGGGATGCACAAAGCCACTGCCTGATGAAAATTAAGAGCCTGAAACTTATAATTCCCAGGACTGCTTTAAATTATTACAGTTAACAAATGACCTAATACATAAAAATGGAGACGGCTACCGAATAGATCTGTTTAAATGAACACATGCAGAAGAGATTTCATTTGGCTCTTGCACCTGAAACTTTCTATTTCCTAATGCAAACTAAGCAGTGACAAATAAAAATGAGACTGCACTAGCAGCATGACCTCTTTAAGCTTTAATTATTCATTAGAACTGTTTTCTTCTCTGCTGAGATTCAGAGCAACACATTTAAGCGGGTTCCTCTCAGGTTTATGGAAGATGTAACTTCCTTGTTACACCAGCTAATAAATACAACTAAGCACAATGGCCCAACAATATTTGTAGAAACAGCATTTGGAGAAATGTGTTTAATGAGTCAGAAGTGACTTAATCTAGTCAGTCTTGAAAAGCAAAGCATATCATGCAAAATTACAATGCACTAAAGCACAGATTCATAAATATTTTATTGTCAAGATTTCTGAGTTTACTTTCTTCTCTCTTTCAGCATTTCAGAATTGCATTTTACTAAGAAATGCCTCTACCTGCATGAGGGAAGGATAATGGTGGTGGTAGCTTTGGGCAAACCAATCTGGGATCTCAGACTTGGATTTAAACAATGTATCTGAGAGTCCCAGCCCTTAGCAGAACCAGGCACATCTTCCATTGTAACCCGAAATGCGTATTGCTTTTTGCTGTCCTAGGATGGCATGGAAGTGACCGGCAAGGTTTACAGCTGGGAGGGGAAAACCAAGAAATTTTCCTTTTGCTGGGAAGACTGGACAAAAGGCAGGTGCCCCCCTGCCCGGCTGCACAGGTTTTTGTGCCTTTGACTCCCCCACAGCCCTCCCGCTTCAGTCCTTCACCTCTCTCCCTGCCCTTGTATAACAGCAACTCAGGGACCATATTTCCTCTCCGGTTTTGAAAGCAGGAGAGGACCAGTTTGTCACCACCTTGGCGAGACCTCCCGAGAGGTACGCAGCTCGGGAGGCAGGCAGCAGCTCCGACCGCCCGGGAACGGTGCCATGCACAAGGGGAGATTTACAGCTCCTCTCCCCTTCAAAGACTTCAGCTGGCGTGATGCAGAGCTGACAGCTCCTCGTTTCCAGGTATTACAAATTCCTCTTCCTCCACAAGAGCCTGCACAGGCTGTCTGGGGTCCCACACGCTGAACCCCCCCAGGGCAGCATCCCTGCGATGGTCCTGGCAGACGGGCGCAGGCAGCCGAAGGGCAGCTTTCCAAAACCCGCTTCTCTTAACGGGGCCGCGCTCTGGTACTTACTCAATCTTTACAACTCAGTGATATGCTGCCAATATATTTTTGCCAAGGAGACAAAAATACGTCTCTTCTTCCTACTCCCTCAGCCTATGAAAAAATCTCAGTGTGCAAGGAGACTCTGTGTGTGTGTGTGTGTATACGTGTGTGTATTTGGGGGGAAAAAATAGAGTTTCTGTTAATTTATTTTCCAGTTGAAAGTATGCCTTGTAGCCAGGGAAGAACTGTTTCCACCGTGTATAAATTTGGGTAGAAAAGCCTTACTTTGTGCTGAGCAGAAATGGCAGCGTGTGCAGTGGGAATTGGGAGCAAATCCTTTCACTGCTCCGTGTCCCAGGTTCTCCTCTCTAGCACGGAGGCACGATGGCTTATAAATAATTTCTCTCCTCAATAAGCTCTTGAGAAAGTTTTCCTACTGACTATAGATCACTCATGCTCCGTAGACTGGATTCACCGGGTTATGTGCCAGCAAATACCTACTGGAGAGTGAGGATCTGCCACGTCATTTAACTCCAACAGTGCTGCGAGGGAAGCGCCAGCATCCGCGGGGGATGCACCGATGCATGCCCGCTCTGCTATGACTCTATCCGGAGGACCCCTAAATGTGATGTCCATCCCTCGGGATGAGCACAGCCCGAAACACCAGCCCTGTGGGTTTGCAAAGCTGAGGTCTGATACCAGCCCGCTCATGATTAGGGTCCAGCTCCCGAGGTCAGCTCTCGGTGTCATTTATTGTCCAGGGCATTGGGGTTTGTAGGCTGAGTTTCTACTTTTTAGGCTTGGCAACACCTAAACCCCTCCCTGGAGCTGCTCCTAAATGTTCTCGAGTAGGAGAGCCATACCCTCGTGAGATGTAAATGCTTTTCCGCAGGAGCTCCACATGCCTCAGGCGATCTTAGCTGATGCGTCCTGCTAACCGGCGAATACTCGATATGCCAGGTGTACTTTCATTGACTCCTGAGGGGCTCCAGCAGAGATACTGTCATCCCCTTAAAGGTCTTTTTTGTTGAATTTTTTTTTCCTAACAGCGCTCTCATGAGTGGGAATCCAGGAGCTGGTTTTCCCGCACCACCGACTCCTTTTTCTTCTCCAAGAAGTGCAACATACTTTCTCCCCGTGAAGCAAATGAGGAGCCTGAACACAATGATTTGGATCGTGACTTCAAGCACAATATCTTAACTACGGTGTCTAACCCGTTCCCATCACAGGAGAAGCCACGGGAGGCTGTGACTCAGCTGCGCCTCTGAGTCACGCACCACGATGCTCCCCTGCTCTCGGGGGACAGCACTTTGCCGTTCGCCTCTGTCAGCAACGAATACGGCTCTCCCTCGCTGGCTCAAACCTTAGCGAGATGTCTGGACCCCCAACTCTGGCCATTCCCTGCTGACCCGTGTCAGGGGAGGGACAAGGGACACCGAGAGCGTGTCCCCAGCCCGCGGTGCCAGACCCAAGGCGGGTATTTATTTGGTTCAGGTGTGCGCAGAAAGTTTCGTGTTCCCAGGCATGGGCAGGCTGCCTGGTCCCACTCCAGCCCTGTGGAAGTACATTGTGAGTCAGGCTGAAATTGCTATTTTTGAGCAAGTCACTAGAAATAATTCATGTATGCGCAAGTTAAAATTCTGCTTAAAAATCACTCTCTTCCTCAGAAGCTTGAAACCTCGGAGATCTATAGTAGCAGATACTGAATTTCATTTTACTAGGTTCTTTCCAGCTGTTACAGTAAGCTTAGATCCTCATCCTGCCTTTCTTCACTTTAAGGATCTTTTCTCATGCAAATATCTCTGATTCTAGCGCTGGCAGGACCAGCCGCACATGTAAGTGTTGTGAAGAATCTGCCTCTTCAACTGGACCAGATAAAGTCTTGCACCCAAATCTGGAACGCATGATATATTTCTTACGTGACAGTTCAAGTAATAAACTTTCTTCTTTCAAGGATTTCAAAATAAATTTCTGGATATTGAATTAATTTATCTGACAGTATGAACCGAGGTTTTGGAAAGCTGGAAGGTGCAGGTTTGTGTGTGTTAACTGCGTGAGCAACAACGCAAAAGGAAAATGCTTTTTCATCCATATGAGCTTCTGTAAATTGTGTTCTATTCTTAGGAGAGTAAACATAATGTAAAAAAAAAAAAATCTAATAATTTAAACCTTGCAGGAAAAGAGGCAAGAGCGATAGAGCAATAGGAACCTCTGAAATGATAAATGTATGAATTTATTCCACTGCCACTGTGGGGTTTTAAATTAGTTTTATTTTTCTTTTATTTCTTGTTGTTGACAAGTTGGGTTGCATTGCTATCCAGTTATAATGTTTACAGATAAGAAAATCTTGAAGGTCAAAAATTCTGTTCGTAGTTATTCTTGTATAAGGTAATCTTGTTGTGTTGGTGACAATGCGGTGTGATCTCATGTCGCCATGGGTACCTGAATCATGCCTGTCTAACAGCAACATTCCCCATTCCTATCCCCTCCCCTTAAGTTCTTACACAGAAAAAAAAGGTATCTACAAGAAAAGCTTCATGCGTGACACAAATGATGGACCGGAGGAAACACTTTTCTTTAAGAAAGCGCGCTGTGCCAGCGGTCTCTCACACCGCACCCATGCACAGTTGGGGTGATGAATTAGTTTGTACTTGACTGTGACCGGTAAGAATTTTGCCACGAATGCTCCAAAATGTAGACTGAGTCCAACATGTTATTAGTGTTCATTATAATGCCTACGTGTAGACATCAAAACTGCCCAAGCTCAGATGGGTAACTTTGTCCCCATGGCAGCCTTGACCAGGGGGACGCGCAGCAAACTCAGCTGCAGCTGGAGCTTGTGTTAGACCAGCATGAGGGAACTGGAAAATTGCTAAAATCCAGATTTTGGGGAGAAGTGAGACCAGCATCTGCCCACAGCTGATCATGGCAGGGACGTGGCAGGGAAGCACAGAAGCGCGGTGAAATGAAGGCGAAAAAAAAAAAAAGACAACCTTAATTACGCCTTCCCACATTTCTGCAGGTTCAGTTCAGTGCTCTAATACCTGCTGGATGAAGCTTTCCTTGACAGTTTTGTAACATCTAAAGGAAAGAAAAGAAAATGAAGAGAAAGCAAAGTGTACGGGCCTTGATCGTGACAGGGCTACAGCTCTTTGAATGTTAACTTTTCTCCCTGCTACAGCATGAAAGTTTTTGGTCTCTGCTAAATCATGCTTCGAGTCAATGTGGATGGGTCACGTACATGAAGGACCTGGAGCAACAGTTTCTAGAGGCTGACAGCATGGTGTGGATCAAGACTCCTGCCTTTTTCTTTATTGATGGGAGGGACTGAAGTCTAAATTTGGGTCTTTGTGCTGAAAGTCTTTACGTAATCTTATTTTAAGGGGGAAAAAAACCCCACACAACCAAAAAAAAGAGTACTCTCCAGGAAGGGGGATCAAGCAGCGCAAGCTGCACTTTTTTCTTGATAGCAGGATTTCTTTTTTACTGAAACAGTATGCAGCAGCCAGGTAAAACCAGAGACCTCCGCTGGTTTGGAAGGTTTGAACCTGCAGTTTCTGGCAACGGGACAATATAGTGGAAATCAGATAAACCGGCTTGTACATACCACCTTGCTGCGAATCAGGACTGTCCTCGCGTCTCACTGTTGTAGAATCAATTTTCAGAATAAGATCCTTTCTTTTACATGGTCAGGGGGCTTAATTCAACCCTGGAATAAATGGGCAGCTAACAATGGGCCAAACTCAGCTCTAGTTAATTAAGAAGAGTAGCATCAGGGCTAAATTTGGCAAGGAGCGTTTAAGTGACTGCCTTCAGAGGCAGGGAAGAAAACCCCTTGCTTAGCTCACCGCATCCAGCTCTTCAAATGCAAATTAACCTGTCAACATCTGCAGGCAGCCACACAGGACAGCTGCAAAAAGGAGCTCCCCGCACCCAGAAGAAGGGCTGGAAATGTTTAGTTCCAAACAGCTATTTTCTAAAATAATTTCTAGTAAATAAGAATACATTTAAAGTGGTAAACTGAGCATCTGCTGCATGAAACGAATGGAGAACAGCATGTGAAAAGAAGCATATGTCAAGTATGCACTTCAGATGCATTGACTACTTGCCTCCAAAACAGAGCGAATTTAAACATATTTGCAGCAAACACTGCAAAAAAATTGCCTCTGCAATTCAAAGAAGGGCCTCAAATAACGGCACAATTGAAGCTTGGCCATACCTTTCCCTTCCCTCGGTGGAAGAGAGCAGTTCATTGTGTTTCAGCTCCTGTCTGGCTTCTTTTACTGAAAGACGTCGGGAATGCGAAGCCCGGACGGCTTTTGTTCGGAGCAAACAATGTCCCTTCACCAGTACCTTTAAAAACCCAGCAAACCAAGTCACTGCTGGAGCCAAATCATCCCAGATTTGGTTTGTAGGAGGGAAGATATGAAAATACCCCCGTGTTTTTTATGAAGTATCTTATCTGCCAGCAAAAGGGACGGTGACATCCTTACTCGGGCTGATTCAGCAATGTGTACAGCAGGAACCGAGCTCCGTCGCTGGAAGGGGATTGCTTGTGACTCAATCTCTTTCTTCAATACACTGCAACTCAGGGAAATTGCATTTCAGTATTTCGTTGAGCCCATTATCCTGAGACAAAATCTTTACTGACTTAACTGAAGCTCTTCCTTACAAAACAAGTACAGGATAAGGCCCCTTCAGCAGGCAAGAGGAGGAGAGGTTGGATCTCAGCTCTGAAAGGTGCAACTTGTCTTTACGAAGCAGCGTGCAGGAATATTTTGCTCTTGCTTTCAGTATAACAGCGCTTAGAACAAGCTCTGATGTCTCTTTTTTTGGGGCAGGGGAATAATCTCCCTGCCAAGCCTGGGACGCATCTGCCATCATCTGCTGAGGCTTTGCCAAGTTTTTGGTGATGCAGCCATGATCTCTGGATGTTGCCATCTCCTATGGTCCTCTTAGGAGAGAGGGAAACCAGGGTGGAAACAAGCCATGAGCAGCTTCTGCAGAAATCATTTTGTATGATAATGTGGTATAATTAAACAAGACTCAACCTCCCCCCATGGCTTGTGCCAACACTTTTACTCATCTGTGGGTTTTCAGCCTGAATCAGGGCTGAGGAAACAGTAAAGATCTTTGACTCAGTTGACAGCGTTGGGCTTTGTCCCATTCACCTCGGCGTACCGCAGCGTCTTACTAACTAACACAAAATGAGAAGACGAAAGAGAAAAGCCTCTGGAAAATCCAGAAACCTGCCGGACACAACTGCGGTTCCCAGGGAGAACCTCAGATTGGAGATATCGCTTCCTGCCCCTTCGCAGCACCTTCACCTCTTTGCTCGGGTTTGCTTCAATATTTCCCCCCCCCGCGCCGATCCTGGGAATTACAATTACGGAAATGAAGAGCTGCCATTGTAGCAGCGGTGAACTGACACGGCCCAGCAGCGGAGCCGGGGTTTTAATCCCCTTGGCTTGCGGAGCAGCACAGTGTGCTATTGAGTGCGTGTCCACCATGGCAACAGCGGTGGTGCTCCAAGAATTCCATTTCCACGGTGCCCCTGGGCCTTGCCTTGACATCTTCATTGTTCCACAGCGAGATAAATAAATAAAAATCCAAGGGTAGCGTAAAGGCAGTGCAAA